GCAGAACAATTTCAGGAGCTCACACAGAGTCGGGAGAGTCTGTGCCCCCATGAGCCAGAGAGAAAAGACCCTGTGGCACACAAGGGAGCAGGGGCCGTCCTCGGAACGGTCCCACCTCAGCAGTGCGCGTGAGCTAGCCCTCTGCTACAGGTGCTCGTGACTGAACCTAACAAGGCTTAAAAGCGAGTCTGGGAAGGATAAAACTAAACCCAAGTAACATACTTACATGTCAGAACTCCAGCACTATTAAAGGGAAAAACAACCAAATCTAGTTCTCAATATGTGAAATCTACAATGCCTAGTATCCAAGCAAAAATTACCACACATGCAAAGAAGGAGGAAAATAGGACCCATACCTAGAGGAAAATCAATCAATAGAAATGAGAGATGATGCTGAAACCAGCAGATGAGGACACGGAAACGGCAGTAAGAACAAGAAAAGAGGCCTAAGGATCGAGGGGAGGCTGTAAGCTGTGATTATCTGCAGACATTATGACCCTATGCAGAAAACCAAGAGAATCAACAGACAGGCCTGTATAACAGTCCTAAGAGGTACGTCCTCCATTATCCACACTTGAAGCATGAGTATCCGAGGCCACATAGCAGTTAATAACCTGCTCACGGTCACACAGTTAGAAACTGGCAGAGCTAGGACTTGGAGCTAGTGGTCAGCTCCTGAGCTAAAATAAGGGAGTCCGGACTTAAAAAGTTAGCAACATTCCTTTATACCAGTATCAAATAAGTAAAAAAAGAATTGAACATATGTTATCATTTATAACTGCAGCCAAATCTATCATGTAACTGGAATCACCACAAAGACCTGTGTGTAAAGTGACCATGTGATTTATCCCTCAAGTTGAGAGTGAAAGGGAGATCTAATGGGAAGGGACATGGGGATGACGGGGAGACTGGGGGGGCAGTCTCAAGCAAACCGAGATGTATGGTCACCCCACATATAGAAACAATTGCGGAAGTCTATTAAAGATCCTAAAACGAGATCCAAATAAGATAGGAAACCTCCCATCTTTTTGGATGGGTGGACATTCTCAAGTTAACCTGTAAGTTTCATGCCATCACAACACAAACTTATTTAGGAACCTGATCACCTTATTCTAAGACATATGTGCCCTCTAGAGTCTTCCAGGTTTAAAACTGTGAATCTGTGAGTTTGTAGTGAGCCCATCAGAAGGCCTGGGTGTCTGTGGCTGCAGATCCCATTTTCAACCACAGGCACACTCCAGCCTCGCAGGACAGCTGCCGGTGACTGGAGCTGACACCCTGCTGGGTTAACCCATCGCTGCATGGACAGAGCGGGCAGGCAAGAAGCCCACGACTTTTCAGTCCATCTCCCGCTCCCTGAATCAGACTGTTTCTGAATGAGTCACATGATCATTCATTCCCAGGGGAGCTCAGACGAGTCGAAACAGGATGCGAACCTCCAAATGGCTGATGCATAAATTGGCGGCTCATCCGAAGCAGGGGAACACCTCAAGGGCAGAAAACCCTATGCAGAAAACCAAGAGAATCAACAGACAGGCCTGGCCCACAGGAAACACGCCACACAATGTTCCTTAAAGGAGGGAGTGGACAGAGAATGGGAGAAAAGAGAGGGACGGGGGAAGTGCACCCGAGACCCACTGTCACAGCTCACTGGGGTCACCACGTGACAGAAAGGGCACGGGCCCACAGGGGCAGGCACGTCCTGTCCAACTCCCACTCCAGCACTCACTGCCCCTGAGCCCAGCCTCTTCAGGTGGGTAAGTCCAGACAAGGCATATGTCAACCAAGGCTGGGGGCATATCTGACAGATTCTACTAAAGAGAGGAGGCACCCAAGCAGGTGTTCCGGGGGTGCTCCACAGCCCAGCTGTGAAGCCAGAGTTCCTTTGGTGACACTGCATTGCCTGCCAGTCTGGGGCGTTCCAGTGGTCTTTGACTCCCTCCATCTTCACAGCTGCACGAGCCCTGAGGGACTCCCAGTCCCCACACAAATTGCACAACTCGCGGTTGCTAGCACTCAAACTGACGGCTGTCATTTCTCTCTGCAATTACCCTACAAATAAAGAATCTTCACAATTGCCACTCAGATGTTAAGAGGCAATCGATCAGTTTTGGGAGGAACATCAAAGCTGATGACTCACGAATACCTATTCACTCAGTGAAATGGCCAGTAGTGAAGATGGCCTGTCATTAAAAGGTCACAGCTGACAAATGCCTCTTGTCTGCCCTTCTCCAGGTTATGGTGCATATGGACCTGCTCTGTTATTGGGAAAATCTAGCATTGCAGCCGGGTCCAAACTAAAAAAGAGCCTTCCCACCCATTTGCTCCTCCTAAAACCCTGCAACTAGAGGGTTATCATCACCCCAGCCCTCCTTTTACGGGCGTGGGAGCCACGGCATGTTTGTCCCACATTGTGAACTGCAGGAAGCAATCAGTCCATGAGAACGTTCCCTGTCAATCCTATAAGGGTGTTTGGTTAGGACAAAGAGGGGCAGAGAGAGAGCGCTTTAGGATCAATGCTGGACCCACCACTGCCTGGCTGCGAGAACCTGGGGAAATTCCCTCACCTCTCTGGAACTCAGTTTCTGCATCTGTAAAACTGGGATATTCTTCTTAGGGAAGCCGGCAGCGTTAAAGCACATAATGGGTTGAATGAGAGACAGGTTAGTGTGGTGGCAAAAACAGTCTGAAGCCAGAATGCCTGCCTGTGACCCTGGAGCCACGTCAGCCTCTGTGTCTCAGATTCCTTGCCTCTAGTACAGGCGCAGCTGTGGGGCTTATATTATGGGATGCGTGATGATGAAAGAACACGTAGGAACTTAGCTCTGAAATCACATTAGCTTTCAGATACTACACACATCTGATACATGTACATGCTGTGTGTACCTACTACATGCACGTAATATAAATGTATATATACAGGGTTTAGCAAGGTGCCTGGCATGCCATAGGCACTCAAAACCTAACACCAAAGGAACACTATTCTCATGAAAATGTTACATCTTTGAGGGGAAGTTCTTAAATCAGTACACAGCACAAAGAAAAAACACAGAGCACCTTGTACATAGTTCTTCTCCAGAGCTGGGCAGAAGGCTGCGTCTTCCCTCAACAGCAAGAGTCTGACTTGTGCTTAGGGACAAATGCACGTCTCACATGCAAGTGACAGAAGTGAACTCAGGGTGGGGCAGGCTGCTGAGTCTAACGCAGGGAGCTGCAGGGACAGGATGTCACTGTCCCCAGTCACCCAGTTTCTCCCTGTCCCCCTCCCATATTGATGAGGTGCCAGTGAGACGGCTCATCTTCTCGGCCTGGCACCTGAGACCCTGCACCCCGGGTCTGCTCTCCCAGCCCCTCGGGAGCCCCGCACTCCAGCAGGCAGCCTTTCCGTGGGGCTGCAGACTCCCTGAGCTCCCCCACACCTGTACCGTGTCCCTGACAATGGCTCAGGCCACCCCCCAAACCGAATCCCAGCTTTCCCTTCTCCAACAGCCTCCCCTAAGGTCCTGCCACTCACAGAGGGTCGCGAGCCAGCCTGTGTTGCAGGAAAGCCGTCCTGCTGCTCTCCCTCCCGCACGGTCGCTGTCTCTCTCCGGAGACCTGAGCACCCTGGGCAGGCCTGGCTCGGCACAGCTCTGGGAGCTCCCTTCTGCCCTGCTACTCTGGGGGGCGGCCCCCAGGCCCCCAGGAGTGCGCGACTGGGTGGCGCGTCTGTTGTATTCTGGGGTTGTCAGCAAGCCCAGCTGGCTCTCACGTGAATTCCTATCTCCAGAATGTGCCTTTAACAATAAGAATGATGCTGTGTTCGCCTCTACCTGCCTTAGTCTTTGTCTTATTTCTCAATTTTATAAAGAACACTTGTGGGAATAGGGGGGCTACTTCTTGAATCCCGTAAGACATCAAGCACCTGGATACCCCTGTCAGGAGCCACTGATCTTGCCCAGAGCAAGTTCTATGGCTCTTTGCCAGATTTGTGATTGTGTCTGGAGAAACACACTTACATAAAAAGAAGTAATAAAAACCTAGACAAAGGACAAGGGCAGGAGGTAGGAAGAAACATCAGCAGCTCTCAGTTATGGTTTGATCTATCCATTCCCCGAGCATACGCCCCTTGGGACCTACCCTTTGCTGAGTGCTGGGGGAGCAGCAGGCCGCCAGCCGTGAGAACACGGACCCAAGTCCTCAATGTCACCTCCTCAGAAAGGCCGAGGCTGACTCTCCTACCTGCAGGCGGTCCCAATGCCCCTGCCCTGGGCATGATCACGCCGCCCTATTCATTTCCTTAATAGCATGGATCACAGTCTATAATTTTAAGTGCTTTTTGTCCCTCCCCCATTAGAATGTGTGCCCCACGGCGTGGGGACCAGGACCGTCTCTGTCACTGTGGCAGCCCTGAGTTTGTTCACACAATGCCTGGGACATTGTTACCTCCTCAGAAGGCTGGTGGAATGGACAGTGTGATGCGTGACCCAGTAAGAGGGGGAGCTGGGGTGGGGAATAAGGATAAGCCAGGAAGGCTTCTTGGAAGAGGCAACACCCAAGGACAGCTAAGGAGAAAATTCATTGAATTCATTTATTGGGGTGGGGGGTTCTTGAGGGGAGCACAGGGCAGGCGCCATGTGCTTGTGCATGGTGTGCAGGGGAGCATAATGTGTAAGTGGGGAGTGAGGAGTTGGGGGGGACGTGGAGGGGGCATGCATGCAAGATAAACAGCAAGACAGGAGCCAAGCCAGGCCTGCGAGTGCCTCGGTGCAGGCATGCAGCAACCACGGGGAGGAGGCGGCACGCAGGTGAGGCCCGAGGATGAATGGGAGGTCTCAGTGGAGGAGGGGGGTCTCACAAAGAGGGACCAGGTGGAAAGGCAAGGGAGGGGGTGGTCCATGCAGGACCACAGCTTGAAAACACGGCGCTTGGGCGAGATGGACAGCAGCTCCCGCCACATGGGGCAGCTGCCAGCCCTGTTGCGCACAGTGACAAAGGACAGATGAAGCAGACACACTGACCTTTTCAACCAGGTCTTCGGGGGCCTGTTCCTCAAAGAGCTGGATCTTATCTTCAATGCACTTCTTCAAAAGGTCTATCTTGCTTTTATTCCTGGAGCGTGGCTTTTTCGCCTTGGACTGCTGCTGGAGAGACGTGAGAGAAAACGTCGGCAAGGAAGTGACACCAGCGGCTCTCGCAGCCCCCAGTCTCCCGAGCTTGCAGGGCTGCACAGCTGTCTCAGGCTGGACGAAACATGGACAGTGTCCTGGAACGGGCTCAGTTCTCGGGCCACCGAAGGGAGCAGAGGGAGTCTGGTGGGCAGAGCAGAGCTTTGCAGTCAAGCCAACAGTGGAACCGACCTGGGGGTCGCCTCCTTCCCAGCGGCAGGACCTCAACCTGTCGGCCTCTCTGAGCATAGAACAGCCCGCAGGAGGCCCTGTCCTGGGGAAGCCAACGCAACAGTGAATAAAGTATCAGCAAACACCAAACAAACAACTAACAGAGATGCTCCCAGATGGCAATGGCGCTACGTAACATGGGGACACAATGAGAGCACCTGGGGGTTGTCTGCGGTGGTGGACAGGGGAAACGTTTGCAGAGGGGGATGCTGGGCAGCAGAGCCACAGATGTCCATTCGAGGAGGCGCTGTGCACACAGAGATGACCACAGAGGCACCCCCCTGGATAACAGCGTGCACCACACATGTCTGCTTCCTCACCAATGCGAGGGACCAACACTGCTGCTCAGACCCAAACGACAAGGTGGTGTCAGGAGTGTGACAATCTGGGAGCACAGTACTCTACACCATGAAGACCTGAAGCCTGCAGCAAGGGTGAGAGTGGTGGCAGACAAGGTCCAGGGTGCTCAGCAGACTGTCATTCAATGAATGGACGAAGCAGATGCTACAACCTGAGCCTCAGTTTGCACACCTGGAAAATGGGGATAATCGCATCCACCTCGTGGGATTACTACAAGAACAGAACACACGTAACATAAACATGACAACATAACAAAACAAACAGAAGGACACAGCACAGCACACCCGGTCACATCACAGGTCACACCAGCTCAGCAGAATGTGATGGGACATGACAGGGTGTGACAGCATGTGACATGGCAGAGCAATCAGAACACAACGCAGCACAGCCTAAAGGAACACGATTAGCACAGCACAGCGCCCCTGAGACGCCCAGTGCAGAGGGTGGCAGGTCACTCTGAGCTCCCCACGGAGAGCTAGTGTCCTTCCCTTCACAGCCTGCCTGCCACCCTCTCCTCTGTGTCACATTCCTTGAGGTCCCATGGCAACCCAGAGCCTACTGTGGATGTGGCCTTGGGCCCAGACTCTACCCTGGGTTCCCAAGCCATCCCTCAGACTGGCCACGGGGATAACATGAGAGAGGACCCACATCCTCAGCACCTGCCCGGCGCACTCAGCAGAAGCATGCACCCACAGTGACCCACTACGTCTGACATCCCCATCGACAGAGCAGAGACAGGACAGCAGCGCAGGAACGGTGGCCTAAAGTCACATCACGGGAGCCCCGAGGACTTGACCTCAAGTTTGCTGACTCCAGAGCTTGGTATCTTTAAATACTCAGCTAACACCGTGAATTAACTAGTTTTCATCTCCTGATCTATCAATGCTGCTTAGGAAAGAGCCAGGCTGGTGGGCACGACCCTCAAGCCCAGAACCAGGATTGGAACTGGGAGAGGACAACACTAAGAAGGCGGAGGCAGGGGCAGGGGCAACTGTGTACATGTACTGATGTCAAATTGGTGGCCTGACACAGGCCTTGGAAGGAGCCCTTACACCAGGGAAACGGGCAAATGATGCAGGTCAGGACTGCTCACCTCCCGGAACTCCCAGCGAGGGTCAGCTACCAGCATGTGTGGTCAGGGGCCAGGCCGTGTGGGGCCCCGAGGTCACGGAGGATGTGAAGAACTGAAGAAAGAGGGCGGCAAGCCCGACCTGGACATCTCTTAGTGATTATAAGGGCCTTTGAAACGCATTTGCATACATGGCCTGAGAGCCCTGGGAGCCACTGGCAGATCTGTCAGCCATGAGATACTCCCCCTGTTCAGGATCCTGGATCCAAACAGGCCAACAGGCAGGAAACTGAGGGGTTACCTAGTGGGAGGAGAAAGATGCGTGGGGAGGGCCCAAGGGAATGGTGACAGACTGAGCACCGCTAATTCTGCTCTGCATGTGACACCACCGATTCCCACAATAAACTCCCACCCCACCTGCACTTTCTCAGAGCAGTACTTGGGAAGGGAGCCAGGCTCAGTCACCCACAGGAGCCCACCCCTGCCAGTCGTGCACTCCTGCCAAAGGGCACTGAGCTTACACACTTCACGCCACGGCAGACACCCTTGCCCCTCCGAGGCACCTGTTCTCTTTCACACCAAGCCCTGGAACAACTTTAGAGTCAAATACTTAATTCCTGCCAAGATAGGCCCTTGTCAGCTCAAAAGCAGAGGAAAAGCCTCACTTCGATTATGTGAAAACATCGTTATTCATTGTTCCAAAACCTTTTAAAACTCTTTTGATAAAGATCCCTTACTATTTATCTACCACCATGTTATATATTCTGCACCCTTCTAAGGACAGAGAGATGAAAAAATAGAATGTGAAAGAATTTTTTTAGAATGTGAAAGAATGTAAAAGCTCCTGAAAGTACCCACTGTTTTTTTATTCAGAAAGCATATGTGTGCATTTCTTTTTCTTCCCCTATGGGAAAAGCAGCAGGTTTAAAGTCAGAAAACACCAGCCCCTCCCACAGTTCTCCCACCCACTGCCTGCCTTGGTCAGTTCACCTTTCCTCTGATGGTCATTTTTCTCATCTGGAGAATGGGTGTATAATACTGACCTCCCAGCACTACTGGGATCTTCAGGTGAGAAAATGTGAGCTAAAGCATTCCAAATGTTTTCAGTCTCAACATACCACCTCAAGAGAAGCCCCAGCATTCTGCACACATCCAGGGGTTGGCTGCTTGGATCACATGGGTTGCGTGCTTATTATGTGCTGGGCCCTTTCTAGGTGCTGGAGGTGGAAGGCAGATCGGTCAGGGAGCTGGTAGTGGGGGCGTGGAAATGAACAAGTCCAGAAACCAGGACGTTTCGGACAGTGACCAACTACAGCAAGGCATGGAGCGCAGCACATGCTGGAGATGACCGGGAAGGGATTCTATGGGAGGGGAGCTTGGAGCACCTCAGCACAGGTGACACCACGCTGAGATGTCACTGGGCCACTGAGAGCTGGCTCTGTGCTGTTCTGGGGAAAGCATGCACTTGGCAGAAGAAACAGCAAGTTCAATGGCCTGCTTGGGTGGGGGTCCCCAGGGGCAGAGCTGGAGACGGGGACTGGGGTGCACACAACTTCCTGAGAGAGGAACTCAGAGCATCGTGTAGGCAGTGAGGGAATCAGACCAGGAGGGGGAAGGGCCACGCCATGCAGGGGCCTCAGGTAAGGCCTCGGGCCAACTGGTCTGCAGGTGGCTCTGGAGCGCACACAGCATCTGAGAGTTGTCACCCTGAGGCACCGGAGAGGTGCTCAAGAAAGGCAGCTGTCAATCACCACCCTGTAAGGCCCATGTGAGCGCCTTTTCTGACCCTCCTGAGCTGACGGGAGCATTTTCCTGGTGCCACACAAGGGCCAGCCTCTGTGCCCCGAGACCCTGGCTTTGGGAGCAGCTGAGGAAGCAGGAGGCACAGGCACCTCTCAGGCCAGGTGGCCCCCGTCACTGAGGTTGATGCCCTGGAGAGGGTGTGGCTCTGAACCATGAGCAGCAGACATGCATGGCCACCAGGGACAGTCACAGGACCTGGGCAACAGGACCTAGGCTGGGCACTGGTGTGTCTGTCACCAGGGACCTTCAGAGGTTGGGTTAATAAGCCTGGCGGTTCTGGAAACAGCCAGATGCCGACACGGCTAGGGAGGAGAGGACAGGGGCGGGAGATGAGATGGGCCCCGGCCGGGCAGTAGGGCCGGAGCCTGTGGGATCAGCAGCTGGCAGGTGCCCCACCTCTGCAGCCAGGAGGCCACGGAGATGTCCCTCCTACCTGCAGCTCAGGGGCAGTCAGGGCCTGGTCCAGTCTCAGGAACTCTGCTTCTCGCCAAGCAGTCTGAAATCGCTGCAGCAGGACGCGGGCCCGGATCTTGGGGAGGGCCAGGCTCCTGTCCATCTGAGCAAAGCAGCCCTGAACGTCCTGCCTCATGTGGAGCAGCTCCTCTTCAGACAGGGAGAAGGCTGAGGAGCAGAGCTTCCTGGAAAGGCAAGGAGGGCGATATGGGTGAGCTCGCATCAAGAGGAGCAGTGGGTGCTGGGGAGCGGGAGAGCTGGGGGTTCAAAGAGCAGCCCCGTCAGTGAGATCCACGTCTGGGAAAACACACACCCTCTGCCCATCGCACATTCTCTCCACGAGCAGCCCTTGAGCACCAGATGCAGGTCGTCTTAGACGATGTCTCATGGGAGCTGAGACCGGGTGTGTCTGTGGGCAGGTTTCCAGCATTTGTGACCTTGAGGACAACCTGGTCTCGCTTTAGAAATAGACATGGAAACAAGGGACTGTCTGCTCAGCCTGGCCAGCAGCAAGCAGAGACCGGTGGCCCAGAGGACAGATGCCCAGCTCAGCTCAGGTGCACAGGGACACGGGCAGCCTTGCACCCAGTCTTAGAGGAGGATGACAGGCACCTCTCAGGTAGAGAAATCCTGTTCACACTGGAAATCATGATTTGCTCTTAAGGGTTGACTTGTACCTCCTCAAAAGGATGTCCAAGTCCGGACCCTGGGTACCTGTGCAAGTGGTCTTATGTGGAAATGGGGTCTTTGCACATGCAGTTAAGAAGTAAGCTAAGATGAAGTCCTCTTGAAGTAGGGGGCCCTTAATCCACTCTGACTGGTATCCTGGTAAGAGAAGAAAGACACCCAGGGAGGAGGCCAGGTGACAGCGTGGACAGGGTCTGGGAGGTCCTTCTCATTCTTCCCGCTGTGCATGAGGTGTGTCTGTTCACGTGTTCATTTACAAATATCCTCTGCAATGTCTTATCGACAGTGTACAAAATAAGCATTGTGGATGCTTTACATGCAGAAATATCTGCAGACTACTACTGTGGGGGGCCAGGGCCAGCCCCACCATGCCCAAATCTCAGTGGGAGAGGGCCGTGCCATGGTTCAGCGAGAGAGTTCTCCCATGGAAATAGAACAGGCCCTTCAGGGCTGACGAGGCCCCAAACACAAAGAGTCGGAAGGTGCCAGGCCCATGTTGCTGACACCTGCCTTGGGTTTCTCACTCCACGGGGTCCCCCAACTTTTTTAAAGGGACCTTAGGAAGGTGCAGCTCCTCTCTCGTACCTCAACTCTTGGGGAACTTTTGGCCCCCGTCTGCTGGGTATGTGGGATCCGAGTGAAAGTGACTCTGAAATGGATCTGGGCTGTTATTCCTGCCCACCTTCAAACTGGATCAGCCCTGGGTGTCTTGCCTTAAGTATCTATTAGGAGCCTGGATGACACAGAAATATGGGAGACAGGATCTTTACCCTATAGTAGTTTAAAACCTATCTTGGAGTTTTGGAAAGAAGTCTCAAAGGGATGCTCCCCTCCTGGCAAAAATATGCATCCTTATTAATTGCTACTTCATCTGACCAGGTGTACAGCAACTTTATGCTGCTTGAAATCAGGACGCTTACACAGCTATGTTTCAAAACTACTGTTCAAAGCTATTTTTACACAATGCCTCAGAAATAAAGCCGCCACCTTTTAGAACCTGAGGTCAGCAAAGTATATAAGCAGATTCACATCGTGTGCTTTGCTAGTTGACCCGCTTTAACCCTCAGAAAAATCAAAGAGTTTTCTGACAGCAAAGTGAGATTCCTCCTTCTCTGCTGACTGACTAAGTCAGCAGCAGAGTTAGTAACACTCTGCAAAATGGACCCAAATGCAATTGAAGAAAACACCATCTGGCAACGGGAATGTCAAGTCTAATTCATATGCTTCAACGAGTCCAAAGCAGGTTGGAATGTGTAAAGTGACAATGGCCAAATGTAGATTGAGCTGAATCACTCCTGCTGAGAGCAATTCATGGGAAAAGGAGCTGATGTTTAAAAATCTGATTTTTTCAGGCTTGGTGAAGACAGCATCTTGTGTGTTCAAGAAAACAAACACTAACAGAGATTGGGAAACAGACGAGCACAGAACCATGAGAGAGAGAAAAGGAAGAGCTGAGAGCTCGCCGTCCAAACCGAGACAACACTGCCCTCTGCAAACCCCTGGGGACCTATTGTCCCCAGGTCCCTGCTGCAAGTCAGTCCCCAGGAAGAGCCTCTGTAGGAAGAGGAGCGAAATCCTTGAGGCCAAGAAGATCCTGGTCCAGGGGAGGTACTGCCTCCAATGCCAGGCGGGCACTGCACAAAGATGCTCTGCTGTGATGCCCAGCACAGGGTTCAAGGTCGCGCAGGCCTCCCGACCACCACCGACGCTGAGCAGAGCCTTCGGGATCCACGGGAAAGAGACGGACAGGCTGACCAGATGCCCTGGAGAGCTCTCCCTCCCTGCCTCCCCTGCTCCTGACCACCACGCCCCCTCCACCATCCTGTCAGTGCAACCGCTTCTAATAAAAGGGCTTAGATTCAGAATTTAAATTATCATGAGATTGGATTTAAACTGTGGAGTGTCTACACAAGAAAAGAATACTGAAAGGGCCTGGGTTTGGTTTGGTTACTGGCATGAATGGGGTTTTCTGGGGTGGCCAATTGGTTTGTTGAAAGAAAAAACAACAACTGTATGGAATATTGATTGAAGGGCAGAGAGGCCCTGTGTTACTGCCAAATGGGCACCATCCTGTCCTCTGTGTAAACGCTTATGTAGTGACTCTGAATAGACAGACCATCTATTGGGGGTATTGCTTATCTCCACTGTGCCGCTGTTGGTTTGAACTGTCCCACACCAGTCAGACCCGTCTCCCCGCGTCACACCCACAGAGGACCAGGATCTCCTACCAGGCTGCTCCCCCCCCCGTCTCGCTGCCTCTCAGCAAAGTGCAGTGGCCCCTGCCCACTCATCTCCGGCTCCCAATCCCACGTCGGTGGCTGGCACACAAAACATGCCTCTTCTGGAGTCTGGCAAAGATCTCAACACTCCACTATGGACCCAATTCAGTGAACTGCTTATGCCCTGCTTACCATAACCACCTAATTATGTGACTCCTTTCCTCCTGACAATCTGAGCTCTTCCAGTACAGGAATAACAGAATTAATGGCAGCAGCTACCACTTACTATCCACTTATTGTGGACCAGGGACTGGGTTAACAGATTTAAATGTGTTAACTCAGGTAATCCTTCATCGATGCTATGAAGGTGGCATCTTGCTAGACAGTGTGCTGACCTAACCTACAGTCACTTCCTTACACCTTGTCAGCTCAGATTCTGTTCAGAGGGGCTGCCCTCCAACAATGTGGGGAAAGGAACACTGCTCACAGCCCTGGGGAGGGACTCTTCATTGGTGCAAGGCTGGAACTGGCAACTGTGGCTCATGGACCAACTCCAGCCCCCTGCCTGCTTTCATTAGTAAGGTTCTACTGGAATTCAGTCACATTCACAAATTTACAGACTGTCTACTGCTGCTTTCTCACTACCACGGTAGAGATGACTAGTTTTAACCAAAACTATATAGCCCTCAGAGCCTAAGATCTTTAATGTCTGGCACTCAATAGATAAAGTTCACAGACAATCACAGGTATTTCAGTTTCCTTGTCAGCGGATGGTTTGGGTCTGGGCTTCTAATGTAGTCCTGTCCAGTGGGATCAGAAGGATCAATGCCTTAGACATTAAAATGATGAATGTGACACCAGGAGCCACAGCAGCCATACTGAAACCATGAGGAGATGGACCCAAAGACCAAGGAAGCACAGTGACAACAGAGCACAAAGATGGCAGGAGCTGGGTTCCTGACCAAAGCACGAGCCACTGAATCTAACCTGGAAACATGTACCTCCAGACTTTTTCGTATAAAATATTTCTTAATAATCCGATATCATGTGCTGTTACAGGCACCCTAAATGATTTAGTACTGTCATCCCATCTTACAAGCAAGATGAGGCTCAGAGAGGTTAAGTAACATTCTTGCACTCAGACAGCTGGTGGTGGGACTTCACCCAGGCTTTTTGGTCCACGCTGTACACACCTCATTCCTCCCTATAACATCATACTGGCCATGTTTGGAACATCTGAAATTTCCAATCTGATGTGCCAGCCTCAAACAATTGCCAAAAGCTCTGTTGTCTCTCTTACACCACATTTTGAGCCACATCTCAGTCTGCACAAAGACTTGGCAAATGTTGCAGGGAAGTAAAGGCCTGTGGAGCACTGGCCCCTCTGCAATTGGCTTCACCTAGTCCTCACGGCTTCCACAGCTCTCCCACGTCTTTTAAAACATCACTGTGCAATTTATCTGTTATTTTCTAGTTATCACTGTGGGAGTGCTGGCTATCTCGAGCCTAATAGAACCTACTCAGAAGTGAGTGTCATCACCTGGTTCCTGGATTAGTAATTGAAATAAATAGCCCAGTGACTGACTGACTGAATGAATGAATGAATGAGTGAAGAGGCCAGGTGAAGACATGCAGCAGGAAGTGGTAACCCCAACACTAAGTGCTGCCTGACATATGGTGAAACTGGGAGGGCTGTGAATGGCCTCGTGGCAAGTTTGCCTTCCCACTCTGCTCCGCGGATAAGGTCCCCTTATCAAACCACACTCGTCACTGCAGGGACCAGAGGCAGTTCCTGCTCATCCCTGCCAGCCCGTGGAATTATCCAACAAACCAATCATATCCTCCCTTGAGAACCAGGGGGCACCCTGCCCTTTTGTTACTACAAGCCTGCCTCCTGCTGGCCCTGGCTGTTACTGGTGAGTGGCCCTCGGTGGCCTGCAGTGTCCTCCCTGGGCTGTGAGGACACGCAACCAATAGGCTGCCACCCATCTCATCTGTGCAGCAATCGGTGCTGTGTGTTCAGCTACCCCCGGGACCACAGGGCAGAACCTGCCCTCACGGTGGGTGGAGGGAGGTGCTGAAAACGCCCGGGGAAACTCACGTAAAGATCAGGTGCTCCCAGCGTCTCAGCTCCGCCTGCTCCTCCGTGGAGGCCTCCAGAACGCCGTCCTTCAGCCTCCGCCTCACGCTCTGGACGCCCTCCTGGTCCCGGTCCCGCTCCTCGCCCTCGAGCTGCTCGGCCCGGGCAGCCATCTCCTTGCCGTGCTCCTCCAGGATCTGCTGCAAGAAGAGCCAGGGCACGCTGCGCTTGAGCAGCTCCTGCGTCATCCCCGAGTTCTGGAGGCGCCGCAGCTCCTCGGTGGCCCTCTCGGACAGCAGCAGGGTCAGGGCCCTGAAGTCGTCCTGGGTGGCCTGGTCCAGGCGCTCCTGCAGCTCCTCCAGGGCGGCACTGTGGTCCAGCATCAGGCTCTTCCACTGGCCCAGGTACTGGCCCACATCCTCAGCAGCTCGGAGGGCTTCCCCGAGGGACAGCTGCTCCTTGCGCTGCTCCCTGTGCTAGGGGGGATTTCAGAACAGAAAATTCAGCGGGGACAGGGCTTTCTCCTGGGAGAAGGAACACAGGTATCAAGGCCCTGTGGTGGAGAGAAAGCCGACATACATAAAGATGTCCGCCCTGGTGTTATTTATAACAGTGGGCCTGCAGACAGCCTTGGTTCTATTTTGCAAGGACATGGGACAGTCTGCCTTTTGTTCGTGGGCCCTGGTGACCAGAGTATCTATTCCTTTATTCTACAAATATTTGTTGAGCACTTATTATATTCATAGCACTGGGGATACAACTTAAACCTTTGCCTTTATGGAGCTATATCCTAACTGCTGCTCACAAGATTTCTCAAAAGCAGCAGCAAGAAATGATATCTCTGGAGGACAGCTGGAATCTGCAGTTCTCATCCTTCTAGACCCCAACTTTGAATCAGGCCAGATCATCAGAGAAATATGGTCTCTGATAAAAAACAGTTTCCATTGATAAAATTAAAAGGTTGTTCTGTGTCCCCTTCCCTCCCTCCTGAATGGTACCAGACAATCACCACACGTAGGTGTCACGCTGCATATCCCATATACCCCCCTAAATCCGTCCAGATGGGCTCTTGTCAGCTCCCACCTGGCCACGTGCTAGAGCCTCCCTGGGGTTCGTAACTCCAGCCCCCTCCGGCTCTGACAGGCTCCTCACATGAGCTTCCTAAACCCCAAATCTGATCATGTCCTTCTCTTCTCAAAAACCATTTCGTGTTCCCCACCGTCCTGGGATGAAGGGTGAACCCTGCGCCTGGCACACCTGGCTCTCGCTGATGTGGCACAGCCCCCTGGGCAAGTCCCCAGTTCCTGCCCTCGCTCCCCTGCCTGCTCCCCTGGCCGCCCTCTCACACCTCTCAAGCACAGTCGTGCTATCTACTTGAGTGCTCCCCCTTAGAACAAGACGCCTCCCACCACCCGCAATGTCCTTCCCGGCCTTGTACACACCAAACATACATTTGCCCTCCTGGGCTCAGTTCACCTGCGCTTGCCCTCCAGCAGGAAGAGTAGCCTCCTATTGGCATTACTGGCATGCGCTGCATGTGGCGTGACGTGAGTACCTCGTGATGCATTTATGTGTCTACCTGTTGGTCGTTTTTTCCTCAAGATAAGCAAACAGCTGAGCAGCTTAGTGTCGAGGATGAGGGTTAGGCCCTAAGTCAGCCACAGGTCCAGGCCCACGTCTGCCACTTACTACATATTTGACCTTGGCCATATTACTTAATGCTGTGATCAGACTATCCATGGCCCAGACATTCCTCTGTGGAAATCTAATGCCCGACGTGGGCAGATGGAGGAGGAGGGCCTTCAGGAGGCACACAGGTCATGAGGACGGGGCCTCCATGCTGGACCTTCACCCTTATGAATGAGACCCCACGGAGCTCCCCTGGCCCTCGCACCAGGTGCAGACACAGCAGGGAGTCAGCAGTCTACAACCCAGAGAGGGTCCTCCCCAGAACCCCCACGCTGGCACCCCAATCTCAGACCTCCAGCCTCCAGTACTGTGAGCTATAAATGTCTGTTGTGTATATGCCCCCAGTCTGTGGGATTTTGTTATAGCAGCCCGACCAGATGAAGACACCTACACTCTCTAATCTTCAGAGTTTTCATTAAAAAAAAAACAACTAACATTGGTGTCTACCTTATAGGGTCAGTGTAAGGATTAGATATGGTACCTTACAAAACACACTCAGCACAGTGCTAAGTAAGCTCAATAAATGTGACAGCAACTATCGCTGTCATTACTCACTCACCCACAATCCTATGCCCTCACCAGGCAGACACGACTAATCTACCATGACCCCCTGCTTTGCTGAGGCCAGGGGGGACCCTTGACACAGCATTCCAGGAAGTCACTGCCAATCAATTGTGATGCCTGAACACCTCAGCTCTCTGACAGCAATGCCTGGCCTGGGACCTGTGTACGTTCAAAATGGTTATGCCAAGAATAAATAGCATGATTCCTTATATACCTTTTGCAGCAACTCTCGTCTTCTCTTAATAATTAATTTTTGGTGGAGTTTTCTCTTTTCATGCTTTAAGTCATTGTCCAGCTTCTGTTTTATGGAAAAAACTTCTGTCTGAGCCCGCTCCAGTAGCACTTCCATCTGATCTTCCTCCAGGTATCCGGCTCTAGACGCAAAAGCAGCAGTTAGTGAGTGTGCCCCCCACGCTCACCTCTGGCTTGACTGGCACTGTGGCTTGAATCAGAAAAGCCTTTACTCTGAAGAAGGAGGGCAGAACGGGCAGCTAAGACCCTGCTGAGATGCAAGAAGGGAAGGGTCGGCATCATTCGAGATGCACAGAGGAGGCTCAGCATCAGGAGAGAAATCACCTCTTTCGGCAGAGGGCGGCCAAGGTCTGGGAGAAAGTAACATAGACCACAGTGGTACAGAAAGGGTTTTCCAGGAGGAGATGGTGGATTAGGAATTCCTGGTGACAAAATGGCCCAAGCAAAGTCCAGGAGGCAAACGCAGGGAACACCGTGTGAAGGCTGGTTCTGTGGGTCCATGAGGCTGGCCAAGCATGCCCAGATCTGAACATTATTTCTGAGGGTGTCTGTGAGGCTGTTTCCAGCTGAGATTATCATTTCAATCGGCGGGCTCCGTAGAGCAGACAGCCCTCTTCGATGTGGGTGGGCATCATGCAAGCTGTTGAGGGCTTAAACAGAAGAAAAGGCAGAGAAAGGAGGAATCCACCCCCTTCTCTCCGCCTCTGTGCCTGAGCTGGGGTAACTCTCCTCATCTCCTGTTGTCAGACTGGGATTGCCCTGTTCTCAGGCCCACGGACTCAGACTGAATCACCACACAGGCTCCCCTGGGCCTCCGGCTCGCAGACGGCAGACAGTGGTGCTTCTCAGCCTCCACAGCCACATGAGCCGACTCTTCATTTATACCTTGGTGGTTCCGTTTGCCTGGAGAATCCTGCCACCGCGCTGTGTACTGCCGCTATTGGCACTACCCTTCCCCGTCTGTCAGCATCACTGTGCCAGGCCCCCTGCTTGGCACAGGTAGATTCTCCATGGAATCTTCTCAGAGGAATGAACAGGTGAATGAAAGCATGGCATATACATATTTTAGAAATACAAGTCTGTGCCAGCCTTTCAACATAAAATTTAAAGATCAGAGGTCAAACACATTTCCCTGGTAACTGCTCACTCGGTACAACCATCTGTCAGGCAATACAGTTCCAGACAAGGAACAGTTTCTTTTACTTGAGTGAAAATTAGTCAGGAAGGTCAAGCCAATTGCAGTGACAAACTCATTAGCATCTCTGGGTGGGGAGAATTCACATAATTTGCACCTTACCGAATCCTCCTTATATAGAATAAGTGGCGAAGTCCTAATAAAATTACCTAGGAATTAGAACCAATTCATAAAACCGTGGATCATGATTTTTAAAAAAGCCAGCTTTAGAGTCATGTCCCTATTCATGTTAGAACTTCTCATCACCTAACAAGAATAAATTTGATGGTTTATAATTAAAAGTCTCAAGGGCTAGCTGACCTCTGTGGTGGTGGGGTGGGCTGTACTGATGAACACCTGCGTCTCTATCACTTACCTAACAGGCTGCGACCCCGGTGCTGCTGAGGAAGCCCATTCGGAATCCAAGACAGGCAACTATGTATTTCTGCTTCACCCCAAAGGAGAACCCAGAGCCGGCAGAGCAACACAGCTCAGAGGAGCGGGTGTGGCCAGTGCATGTTCCCGGTAGCCTCCACCGCTCATTTCCCAGTGAAGTGCTGGGGATTGCTTTGAAATGACTCAGGTGGGGACGGGTGGCTACATCACGGTCAGCCAGGAGTTGGTACCTACTGAAGTTGAGTGGCAAGCACCTGGGGGTTCACTGTGTGGCTGCCTCCACTATCGTGTGTGTTTCTGTGATTCTACGATGCAGAGGAGTCTTATAACTGGAGAATTCTCCTTAAGAAATAAGCAAGGAGCAGCCCGGGCACCCAATGAACGAACAGCGGTGGGTGGTCTTTGATGAGGGATGTTGGGGCAAAGCAATAGGTCTGCATCATGCTGCAGTTCTGGGGCTTTACCTCTCATGTTTCTGGATGAGGAGGGTCAGCTGGGCAGCAGCCGTGCTCAGAAGGCCTTGCACACGGGTTTCTGATGACTGTATATTCTGGACCAGGTACTCCCTGTGGCCAAATCTTTTACTTAGGTGGTATCTCTTATTAGCCTGGAAAAAGTCCATTAACTCTTCTACATTCTCCTGTTAAAAAAAATTTAAGGACATTTAGGAAAATGAAATTAATTAAAATCTAGAGAAAATTCTTTCTAGACATTTCAAGTATTGCATTTCCTTTCCGAAGAAATGCACAGGAATAGAAGCACTGGGATTAACACCTTAACCTCCCTGCCCGGGACAGAGGCTTAGAAAAAAATTAGACTGGTAAGAAGTGAGGGCTTTGGAAAGTGTGTGTTATCAAAACACCTCCGCTGCTCCAAGAAAGGGAACGTCCCCTCTATCCGTGCACACATGCACACCCGTGGAGTTCCCAAAATATGACCGCAGACGGGCTGAAGTTCTGGGATAAATCAGCCATCAGCCGTTTCCCACGGGACCCCCACACTCCCCTAGGAGATGAGGCGGTCACACTCACAAAGAGCGAAGTTTTCTCGGCCTACAAAGTGAACAAAACCCAACCCAACACCGAGAGCAGTAATAACCTAGCGCATGCTGGCTGTTTTCTCAGGTCCACTGGGCCCAGAGTGTTTCTTAACTTACCTAATCCAGTCTAGGGAGCAAATACTATTATTCCCCTTTCACAGAGGAGAGAAGTGAGTCCACATCACACAACTGGTAAGGGACGGAGCAGGGATTTGAACTCAATCTGACTGAAGGACCTGTGCTCTGACTTCCTAGTAGGTTGTCCCTCAAATCCAGTTTTAACCAGTGGCACTGTAATTAGATCAGCTGTAATTAAAATACTGGCCTCCGCGGTATTATCCCAGCCACTTAAGATGGGCTGTGCTGTCTCTTTTCTGTCGGTGGAAACACCGTCCATGCAGGTTACCAAAAAGATCAACACTTTGTTCAACCAGAAGTGGCTGATGCACAGCCTCCTTTCCACACATAAGCGAAAACCTCTCTAGTTCCTGACACCTGAGAATTCGCACTGTCCAGACAGTGACAGCTGGTTGGTCAGATGCGGCTGACCTCTGCCACGTCTCCCTGAGAGTTACGGGCAGCGGAATCAGTATGACAGGAATACTGTGGCAATACTGCTCTTCTGCGTGGAGCTGGATCCGTGCTGGCTGACCCGAGCCCGTCACGTAAGGGGACTCATCACTGGCACCCTCAAGCACTCACGCAGCTGGGGTCAGACAAGTCTGTGTCATGGCCCTATTATCACCCATGGCAGCTATTTCTCTGACTCCAGCATTAGGAGTAAAAACATGCATTCTTTCTGACCTGGATGCCCTAGTGCTGAGTCATCCATTACCCACTGTAAGTCGAAAAATGACTGGGAAATCTGTTAATACTTAAGTGGTGCCATGGGGTCTGAAAACCTTACTAGGGAAACAATAGAATTTTTAATCTACTCTCACTGATGCTTTACTGGGAAAATTCTAGAGCAAAATGGAGAGGCTGGCTGGTTCTCTCCAGGCCCAAGGCTCACCCTGGTCTCCTCCTGGCATGGCCCTGCCCCACTGCAGCCCTCACTCCCTGGGCCTGGGTCAGGACCAAAAGCTGCCGTGTGACTGCACTGTGTGTGTGTGTGTGTGTGTGTGTGTGTGTGTCCACCTGCATAAGAAATTCTGCAGCAGTGTTGACTGTTTCCTATAAACTATTTTCACTATCATCTAGAATTTATTCAGATTAGTAACATTCACACCCAAGCTTACACACAAGAACATACACAAATTCAGGCATATTGAGACACATCACAAACTCTAGCTATACATCACACACACATGCACACACACACACATCTATACATATGTTTATACATTTTTAATTACCATAGACATCAAACATGTATTGTGCTAAGCACTGGCTTTCCAGGAATCAGCTCGTTATATTTTCATCACACCCTGTGTGGATTCTATTGGCCCCATTTTACAGGTGAGGAAACTGAGGCTCAGAGAGGTTAGGCAAGGTGCTTAAATTCACACAGCTGATGGGGGATGGGACTGGAATTCGAACTGAAGGCCTGTGCTTCACGACACCTCTGCCCCGCTTACTAGAAACTCACTCACACATCAAGTAGAAGGAAGAGCCCAGCTACTGGTTCATGGCACAAAAGAAGAGACAGGACTTAATTCTGGGAGAGGAGACATTTACAGCTAAGGGGAATTACTCTCCCTTCAGAGCAATCTGAATCATTACCTGTATTTTAGAGTAATCTTGCAGTAGCACTTTAGCCGCCTCTGGCTTCAGTTCCCCTTTGAAAATAGCACTTTTTATCTGGGTAAAAAAGATACTGTGCAGCTCGCTTCTCTGGAAAATGGCCAGCTGCCTGCGGGCCTTGGCAAAGCCCTCCTCCTGCTGCAGGCTGAGCGAGCCCCTCAGGTGCTCCTGCTCTAGGCTGTGGAGGGTCCGCAGGAGGCCACTGCACTCAACAGCCAGCTGCAGGGAGAAGAGCGGGCGTGAGACTGACGCACTGGGCAGGCATGCGCACACGGCATATACACACAGACACACATCATGCACAGAATGCATGCACATACACACAGCAACACACAGGGCATGTGCACACACACTCACGTGAAACACATACGTACACACACACACACACACACACAATGTCCCAAGTTGATAATGATGAAGCTGCTAAGCTCTGGGAAATGCTATCACAACCTGTCCATCTCTGTCATCGTAATGTTTTCCAGAGCAACCTCAAAGCACAAAATTCACAAGGGTGGAATTTTGCAAATCAAACTGCCTGAAAACAGCCTGCAAAATGGAAGCATCAATGGACTGCGCTGTCACTCAGGCTTATGTCCATCATCTTTCACTCTTAAATTGGTTGAAGAGAAAAGTAACAGCCATCAGGCCCGAGTTGAGATCATTTAGGTAAAAAGGGAAGCAAAGAGGAGTTAAGAGATGGCTACCTGGATGCCTGCACTTCACGTGGTGCACGTGAGGGAAGGAGGGGAGGCACACCTTTGCTGGCTCCTGAACGCCTTCACACCTCCACCACCCCAAAGGCCCACGCCCCAGGAGAGGAGTGGCACCGATTCCACAGGCAGAGGCGGAATTCTAGGACGTTCTCCCAGAGCCCCAGCCCCCAGTGTGCTCAGCACAGAAACCCTCCCCGTGGGAGAGGATGTAAACTTAATGCAATGGACAGTCATTCAGGATCGGCTATTACACACCCAGGGTGAAGGGGTGTTGAGGACGTGATCAGGTCCCTAATGAGCTGACCCTGAGTTACTCGGAAGGGAAATTATCCTGGGTGGGCCTGACTTAATGAGATGAGTGTGCAGGGAAGAGAGGTGCTGTCCTGCCACAGCTGGCAGCACGCTGGGAGTCGAGGTGGAGAAGGCATGCCTGGAGGAGCCGAGGGCCTCAGTCCTACAAATGCAAAGAAGTGAATTCTGCCGACAACCCCGGGCTCCGGGAGCGGGAGGGAAGGCAGCCTGGATGGGACCCGGGGGACAAGCGTGCAGAGACCCGGCTGAGCCGCGCCCAGACCCCGGACCAAGGAAACGGTGATGATAAGCGGGTGTCAAGTTGCTAAATATGGGGGGCTTTCCCGTGCAGCTGTAGCAATCGACACACACCACCTCCCAAGTGAAGGATCACAACTCAGGGAAGCCAAGCGTCTTTTCCTGGTTCTCGCAGCCGCAGCCCCAGCTTCAGGCTCCGAGTTCTGAAACCACTCAGACATCAGGCGGTGCCACACGCTGGAGCAGAGTCAGGGCAAAGGGTACGAGGCGGAGGGCTCTAGCCCAGCGGACAAGGTCACGAGGACAACAGGCTTGGGTGCAGGGGGACATGGGGTGGTGGCTGTGACTAGGCTGAGGCAGAAGGGTGGTGATTCAGCAGCGGGAAGGCCCGTACCTACTCCCACTGGACATGATGGGAACAAGCCACCCTCACAAGCACAGCACCACGTCCCCAGTCCCCCAAGTCACAGACCTGCCCACCTCCTCCTCCAGCCACTCACAAAGGCCTATGAAGGGGACATACTCCCATCTTTCCAGCAACTTTTACTTTTCAATCTGTTCAGAATCGGGCTCAGAAAGGGGAGTGTTATGTACATACCCTCCCCACCAAGAAGCCCAGAAGGCACCTAAGGGTGCTCCCAGGTCCACGGCCCAGAAGCCAAAGGACGTTGCTGGCATCTTCCTGCCCCCATCTCCAGAACCTATCCCAATATTAACGGTTTGCCTCAGCCACCAGAAAACACCATCTTTTTTAAAAGCTGGTTTTATAAAAATGCCCAGATTAGACTTTTCTGAGTCACTCTTCCAGAGAACAGTGGTCATTCACAGCTACTTTCTCTAAATTAGAGGCTGTAATTCACCCGACTCGGTATGGCACGGATGTTCGCTCAGGAGAGCAGCTGCTGCCCCATTGGGGTGATTCATCCATCAAAGGGACCTTCCTTTCAGGCAGTATGAAATTTGACAAACCCAAACCTCAATTTATTTTAATGAATAGGAATGAAATCTGGGGTGAAATACATTCAGCTTCTCACAGTGAGGACAAAACACACATGTGAATGCACACATGCAAATCCTAAAATGACATCACCTGTCCTTGTTTAGAGCAAAAGGGAACAATATGTTTGTATCATAATGAGACACACTCTGAAATACAGTTTGATGGGAGGCTTCCACTTCCATGTACAAGGCCCCTCAGAGGGGGTCCAGAAACCTGCAGAAATGCATTCAACCACGGACCTGGGTCATCCTCCCCTGAGAAGCCTAAACCCTAAAGCACAGGACACCCCCACTCACCTTGCCAAGCATGGGAGGACATGTACAGAAATGAGTGATGGCCTAGTATGAGAGGCACTAGGGAGTGGTGAGGACTGGGGCAAAGTGGAGAACAAGCTCTGCCTACAAGGCCAGCATTGTTCAGCCCCCCAGTGGGGGGGCTCTGCAGTTATGTGGACCCAGTGCGGCCACATTTTCCCACTTTTTAGAGAACCTGAAAGTCTGGATTTTTATATGAAATGTTGTATTTTAAATCGTGACAACAAATGTGCAACTTAAAAGGTATATTAAAGTAATGGTCAATGACTCCCAAGTCCCTATTGAACTTTCCACTAAAATGGACATTTCAGGAAAACAAGACAAGTTTATGCTGTGACTTCAAGTGTTCCTAAAACAGCAACTTGTCCTGCAGAGGGGTCAGGGGTAGACCAGAAGGGAACTTCAGTTATGGTTTGAGAACCATAGGCTGTGCCAGGCTGCTCCGGAGCAACAGCAATTCATAACACTGACTCTGCGACATCGAAAATGTGAAATCATGGCTGTACTGAATTCTAGAACCTGTACTCAGTTTAACAAGACCAGCAAATTGTAAAAATGGTTTTATAGAAATAAATGGATCAGAGATGGTCACAACCTCTGATTGTTAAGCTGAAGAGTAAGAGTTCTGGCTCTGAAGGAATCTTTGCCTTTAAGACCCTCACAAAGGTATCAGGAAGCCTCGGGTGGCTCGGGGCTGTATGCGCTCCTAGCTGCTCTTCATTGGGTAGCTGGGAAGCACCTGGGTCTAGAAGAGAGTTCCCACACAGAGGGTGCACCCCGAACCACCTGCTGGCAGCTGCCTGCAGAAAGTGGGGCACACTGCTTCCCCTGGGCCTCGGCTTCCCCAACTCAAAGTGGAAACACTTCACTTTCTCTGGCTGTTCCGTGTCACAGGCTTCTTTGAGGACTACACTGAGTGACAACTCATCGTAAACTCTAGCGCAGGGCCGGCACTGCCAGG